GACACGCTGATGCCTGGGGAGCCACAGCTGAATGTGTGTGACAAGGCCATTATGGTGAGTGCTTAAAGCAGAAACACAGTGGGGAATCCTTAGCTTGAAATTTGTATTGTAAAGCCTTCATGAAGTGTCACTTAATTCTGGGAAGGGATGGAGAAAGGATGCTCACTCACCTGTTTGTGGCTTCCTTCCTTAGAGACAGGGCAGGATCCACAACTGTAGACCCTTCTTCTCCTTCCTAATCGCCTCCTACAAATCTTAAAAGTCATGGAATCATCGAAGCATGGAGTGGTTTGGATTGGAAGAAACCTTAAAGCTCATCTTGTTCCACCCACCTTCCTTCCATGGGCAGAGACACCTTCCACTAGACCAAGTGACTCCAACCTCGCCTTGGACACTTCCAGGGATGGGGCAGCCACAGCTTCTCTGGGCAACCTGTGCCAGGGCCTCACCACCCTCACACAGAATAATTTCATTCCAATATGCCATCTAACCCTGTCCTCTTTGTTTTGACTCCTCTGTGTCTGAGTGGTGGCACTGGGACAGTGCTTCTCTTTCAGTGATGTATCTTTGATCTTGTTCAGTCTCCTCCAGTTCCACCCATGCCTGAATTTTCCAAGATCTTTATGGCTTGAGACATGACAAAACGTTTTCAATTCTCTTTTCTGTTTCAAGTCTCATGTTGAAAAGTTACAGTTTGGCTTTCCTGTCAAACACAGCTTGGTTTGTTGAGAACCTGGGAAAGCAACTGGATAGTGTGGGGGAGGTAAAGTTGTCAGATGATGAGAGGCTGTGTAGTCTGAGGGAATGTGTCTGTGGGCTGACACAAAATAGTAACAGCAACATCTTTCTGATGCTGAAATAATCTTCTGAAACAGTCAGAACCTGCTGCTTTGGGTCTGTCACCAGGAAAGAACAAAAGGTGGATTTGTGTCCCCTCAGTAACAAGGAAAAGATCTTTCTTAGCCTTGTCCCATCTTTTTATTTTTGGCTGTTAAATAGGAAAAAGATTTGAAGGCCCATTGTTTCTGTGCTGTTTTCTTTTCTTATTCAACTTTTCCCCTAATAAACACTGTTCTGTGTTCCCCTGGGACCTTTTGGATTCAGGAACTGTCCACAGAGCCTGGCAAAGGCATTTCTTCTGTGCTGCCTCCAAAACTGGTTCACAGATTTTAGGCCATCTGAGGCAGAAAGTGGGCTGGGGAGGATCCCAATTCCAGGAGAAACATTCAAATGTCAACAGGAAGCATTATGAGTTTTGTAATCTATGTACACTCCTTACAAACTGATTGCGTGGTCACTAAACCAAAATATCAGGCACCAAATTGTTGCCTTTTGAGACCAGAAATTAAGAAAACCAAATCTTTTTGGAGTGGTTGGTAGATTGGGCCTGATATCTGTCTTTGGGGGATACTGGGAGATAAATATTGTTGACTAATACAATCTAATTTACTGTCTCCTAAATCTTGTCACCTATTTACTGGATATGGGTGTTTAATATCCTTTCTGGGACAGAGGAGAATTGTCTTTACTTACACATAAGCAAAGTGTGTGGAAGTGTTCAAGGAAGTGTTCAAGACCATGGAGTGACAGGACAAGGAGGAATGGCTTCCCACTGCCTTCCCTGTGAGGGTGGGGAGGCCCTGGCACAGATTGCCCAGAGAAACTGTGGCTGCCCCATCCCTGGAATTGTTCAAGGCCGGGTTGGATGGGGCTTGGAGCAACCTGGGCTAGTGGAAGGTGTCTCTGCCCATGGCAGGGGCTGGAACGAGATGAGCTTTAAGGTCCCTTCTACCTCAAACTATTCCATGATTCCATGGCAGCAGAAGCATCATTTTGGAGCTCCTGCAGTTGTGGGATTGATGGATGCACAGCAGCACCAGCCCTCCGGAGCTGGGAGGTCTTTGCTGGCCCATCTGTGGTGTGTCCCACCAGCAGTGTCCACGAAGCTGCCACAGAGCCAGCTCTGCTGTTTTTTTGTCCTGTGGAAGTGCAGGAAAAGCTGTTCCATGCAGTGGAGCCATGCTGGCCTGACTTGCAGCACGAGTGGTGTCCCCAGGGCTCCCAGCACAGCTCCAGGAAAGCCTTGGACTGTGAGACTGAAACACACACCACTTATTGTTTGATATTTTTCAAAAGAACAAACATTTCATTTGTTCTTTTGGCTCTCAGTTCCTTCTGCAGAGTGGCCTAAAATTTCCAGCCGTGGTTGTGCATTTTAAAATGGAGAAACAGATTTAGGAACCAGCATTAATTGTTCTTAAAGCCTCTGGAGCCCTTGGTGCAGAGATGCCTCCACCAGAGTTCCCTCTGCGTCTGCTCCTCTGCAGGGATAGCTGGTGTCTCACTGCCATCTGTTGTCAGTTCCATGGAATAAAATCCTGCTCCAGCATTTTTTTTCTGGGGTTAAGCTTTTCGTTTCCTCCGTAGGAATTTACATCCAAGAAAACGTAAATATTTGAAGGATAAAAATAAAATTAAAGGCAATAGGTCAGAGCTGAACTGGCCTTTGATATGTACAGACCTGAGAGAGGGAGGAACAGGGAATGAACACAAAAGATTTCTGAAGGCAGAACGGGAATTACAACCTGCCGTTCACATGACCACGATCCCAAATTTTAAATGGCAAAATGCCAATTAAATAAAAAAAGTTCATTTTTCCAAATTCTTTCCTTTGTTGATCCCTTAGGAAGCTGAGGTTTGCAGTGGGTCTCCTTGCTGGTGTCCTTTCTCTGTTGTACACAGGCAGGTAGTTCAAGAAACATGGAAACAAGGGAGACAAATAGTTTTGTGTGGAAGAGGTGTCCCAGGAATGCCTTCTGCTCCATCTGCTCATGGATTCATCCATCAAAATGCTCATTAAAATACCAGCATTCTTATCTCTCTCACACCCTTGGCCTTCTGCTGCTTTTTGCTTCCTCAACAAAGTGCCTGGATATCACAGTGCTAAGAATGGGAACTCTTCTGGACCCCAGGAAAATTGGGAAGGTCACCAAAACCTCGTGATCTGGTTGCTCTGTGCTGCTACAAGAGAGAGAGGAGGGTCACAGAGTCCCAGCAAACTGGTCTGGGAGAGACCAGGAAAGATGCCAGAAGAGGGAATCATGTGCTGCAGAAGGATTTGTAGCCTTTCCTAAAGCTTTTATTTGACTAATGTTTGGAATGGGGAAGTTTATGAGCCCAGAGGCATCGGCTGCAAGAGGAGTTTCATTTTTCAAGCAGGACATAAAAGTGTCTTTGTGAGGATCAAAAAGGGCTGGTTGGGGTTAGAGCTTAGGAGACACTTGGTGTGAATCATCTTTCTGTCTATTTTTGTTTGTCTTTAACAGAATTGGTCCCCTCCAGGCTGTGAGAAGCTTGGGAAGTGCCTGAAAGCGCCTGAGTCTGATCCTAAGAAATGCTCTTGGCCTCACTGATCTCTGCATCCCTCCAGAGCTGCACAGAGAGCCCGGAGCAGCCGGACATCCAGCGTGTCTGCTCATGTTGGCACTCCTGTTTACACAGGAAGGGTGTGATGTGTGTGTGAAATCATCACTTGTTCTTCCAAAAGGGCCAGTGTTTATATTCCTCATGCTCAGGGTTTAGCCTCCACTCCTCTCTTCTTCTGGTTGTTTCCCTAAATGGTAACCTCAGCAAAGTCTGTTTCAGCTGTAAAAGCTCTCTGGACAATGACAACTCTGCCATCACCTCCAAAATGCCATGGATTCCCCTTCCTCCTTCCACCCTTGGATTCCCCTTGCTCCTTCCACCCAACCTGCTCTCCCAAATCTTTGCTCACTGGGATGCCCCAACAGCAGCCATAGGGACGGAGCAGGAAACTCAGAGCTGCCAGAAAGCCCTGCCCAAAGTGCCCGTGTTTTGTGTGCCTGTAACTTGTTGTTTTAACATTTGATTTCCATTGTGAACTCTGGATATTAACTTGTTTTTCCTTTCTTCCCAAATTTGGGAGTTCTGGGTGCAGCTGCTGGGAGCAAACAAGGGCTCCCTCCTGTTCCCAACTAAGGGGTTGGATTTGGGGAGAATGCCCTGACTTTCTTGCATCTGTAGCTGCAAACATTCCCTAGGTTATGGTACAAGGAAATTTGAGGATAGTGTTCAGGTAAGTATTGGATTAGGGTTACAGCAGCATTCCAGTGCCTAAAGGGACTCCAAAAGAGGACTTTGGACAAGGGATGGAGTGACAGGCCAAGAGGGAATGGCTTCCCACTGCCAGAGGGCAGGGTTAGATAAGATATTGGGAAGAAAATCTTCCCCTTGAGGGTGGTGAGGCCCTGGCACAGGTTTCCCAGAGAACCAGTGGCTGCCCCATGCCTGGAATTGTCCAAGGCCAGGTTGGATGGGGCTTGTAGCAACCTGGTCTAGTGGAAGGTGTGCCTGCCCATGGCAGGGGGTGAGACTGGATTATCTTTAAGGTCCCTTCCAACCCAAACTATTCCATGATTCTGTTGCCTGATTGTTGGTATGCAGGACATTCATGGGGAACTGGGGGTCGGGTGATCATTTCAGGGGTTTTCTTAGTTTCCAAAAATCCATGTCTAAATCTGATTTAAGTCATGCTTCTCATCTCATGATCCAGGCCCAGCCAAGTGCAGGCTCAGAAATACCCATTTACATCAGATGTTAACTCTTGACCCTGTTTCCAATGCATGCTCTCCGAGGAATCCTCCTTGTGCAAACTTTCCACAGCCTGGGTGTAGCTCTTCTTTAAACAGAGTTCCTGGTGAGCGCGGGGCCTTCGCACGATTCCGTGGCGCAGATTCCTCGTCTGCCTTGGAGCCTCTTCCACACCCTTCCCTGTTGCTAATAAACGTGTCTTGAGCAAAACCAGGTTACTCTGGGGCTTCAGGGCAGTAGCTGGAAGGAACCCTGAGCATGTTTGGGTTCAGATTGAAGGAGGGGAAGTTTAGGTCAGATATTAGGAAGAAATCCTTCTTTGTGAGGGTGGGGAGGCCCTGGCACAGGTTGCTCAGAGAAGCTGTGGCTGCTCCATCCCTGAAAGTGTCCGAAGCAAGGTTGGACAGGGCTTGGAGGAACCTGGTCTAATGGAACGTGTCCCTGCCCATGGCACGGGGTGCCATGAGATGGGCTCTAAAGTCCCTTCCCACACAAACCATTCTGAAATTATATGTTTGCACCACCACCAGCTCCACTTGACACCTCCAATGTTTCCCACAGTACACATGCCCTCTCTGTGTGATGATGTGCTGCCTTGGGAAAAAAATCCAGGTGCTCTGTCCTTGGAAACAGCTCGACTTCCTTCCCAGGCAAAGCTGGGACTGCTTGAGAGCACTGCCTGTGCCAACTGCTGTGCTGCCTGCTCCGGGCTTTCAGCTGCCTGTTCTTACCCTCCCTGTAATCCAAACGCTCCCATTCTCTCTGTTCCCATGGTTTATGCTACCTGTAATCCCCTCCACAGTAATTCCTAGTGTACATCTCCTGAAGCTGGATAATCCTAAGAGATCGGCATAAGAACAGCACTTGAGTCAGCTCTTACTGTTCCACCTCTCAGAAATCCCAGCATTTCTTTCACCAGCAGTCTGTGGATCCCTGTGCATCTGCAAGTGGCATTTGTTTATAGTCCACATTTCTTAGCTGCCTTATGATGTTCCTAATTGTCCTTCAAGTATATCATGGCATTTCCAGCTCATCCATAACATTCCTCCTTGTTTTGACATAGCCTGGATAGCTCAAGGCTTGGGAGATTCCGACCAGCCAGTTCCTCAGTGGCACAAGGAGAGAGACTGGGAGGACATGTGGGTCTGTCAGCACAGGACACCAGATAAAACCAGTAACTCCCATTTGCTGGATCTGCTCCACCTCTGCTTTAGTGCTTCTTTGAGTCCAGAGATGGGAATGGAGCTGGGGAAGGGGCTGGAGCACCAGGAGTGGCTGAGGGAGCTGGGGGGGCTCAGCCTGGAGAAAAGGCTTAGGGGGGACCTTCTCGCTTTTTCCAACTCCCTTACAGGAGGGTGGAGTGGGAGGAGTCAGGCTCTGCTCCCACAGATGTCAAGGAACAAGGGACAGGATGAGAGGAAACGGCCTTAAGCTGTGCCAGGGGAGGTTCAGGTTGGATAGTAAGGAAATTTTTTTGTGGAAAGGCTCAGAAAGCATTGGAACAGCCTGCCCAGGGCCATGGTGGAGTCACCATCTCTCGTGTTCAAAAAACATGTGGATGTGGCACTTGAGGACATGGTGATGGTGTTGGGCTGATGATTGGAACTGATGATCTTAAAGATCTTTTCCAACCTTAACAATGCTGTGATTCCACGATTCAATCACCCAGAATTCTCAGAGTCCTGCAGTTCACTATAAAGATCCCACCAGAGGAGGGAGTCCATCACTGCAACTCCCTGGAAATCCTCATCAGCCCTCAAATAGTTGCGAAGTAGCAACACTTTGTGGGGTTTTGTGCTGCTTATGAAGAGTTCACATCATGGGATCAGAGCTGAGCACTTGCCTGGACATGTTCCTCAGTCCTTAGCACTTGAGAACACACACTGTGAGTGTTCTGGGTGCCTGCTGCCCCTGTCCCCTCCCTGCTGCTTCCTCCTTTTCTCTCTCACAGCTCTCAGTTCTGAAGGTCCTGCTTTTCCCCTGGAACTTGCTTGGACAAGCCACCCTGCTCTAAGCAGCCACAGTGTTTATCCTCTCCCCCAGCACTCGAAGTCCTCATTCCTCACTGAAACAATCTCTCAGGACCCAGATACAGGAGGAAAACTTTGCACTAGAAAGCAAGTAAGTGAATTCACTTAGTGTGTGTTTATAGTAAATGGACACAAAACAGATAATAAATAATCAAAGCTTAATGTGACAAAGCTTCTGCTTTAAATTTAAATAAGAATAGTAGTGTTACAGCTGTTTATCAGGAAGAATTTTAAATCAATTCCTCTCCCAAAGATGTACAGATTTAAAAGTTGTGAGATGAAGAACTAATGAAGGAAAATAATTTATCAGAAATGCATTCTATGATTTCACCTGTAAACCAGGGGAATAACACTTTGCTGGGGGAGAGTCTCACAGATCACAGGACTGACTTGGGTTAAAAATAACTTGGTTTGTTTTCCCAGTATTATTTTTACCTTGGATCAATTTCCCAGCCCACAGAGCTGCCCAGGAGCAGTTCAGGGGCTGGAGGGGGACCAAGACCGGGGATGAGGATGATGCCTGCAGCCACCAAAATGCACCTTGGAGCAGGAAGTGGCCACATCTGCCCTTAATAATGATCCTGAGCCTCTGGTCTGAAGCTGCCCTGTTTGGGAACTGCCCATACTGGGCCAGGAGTGGGTCTGGTGGGGTTCACAGCCCACTCGGGGACCTGCAGCAGCCAAACTGGTCTGTTGGTGGCTTCTTTGCTCAAGCTACAAGACATAAATGCTAAAGGAATGATGATGTTTAATGCTGTGATGTTCCTTTCTTTATATTTATTGTGCTAAATGCTAAAAGCTGAATATCTACTTGGGCTAAGAGTCCAAGGAATTTCTTTCTTGCCTTTAATTTCCAATTAGCTGAGCCTCTCGAGCCTCCCCGCTCTGCCCCTGAGGCTGTGTTATCATCCGCCCCTCTGTGCGGAGAAGCTTCCGAAATGGATGGAACTAATAATCGTGGAAAAACTCCGGCTGCATTTACAGCCTCTGCCTGCAAAAGTGGAGCCTTGATTTCAAAGCCTGCGGCGACAAATGGATTATTTCGGTGGCAAATTAGTCTCTGGGGACCGACAATTTGGGGAGCTGAGCGCTGGAACTGGAAAGCAGCAGATCAATTCCGAACACTTGGAGCCAAGGTTAATGCCCTGCAAACTATTGAGTGCAGCGATGAAGGATAACGTGTCAAATGGGAAGCTTGGGAATATGGAATTAAAGGGAAAATGGGGAAGGTTGGAACAAGGAGAGCGAGCGAGACCCACAGATTTGTTAATAAAACCTGGGGACTGAGTTTTTGGGTGAGCGCTGAGGATGACAGTGGGATTTGAATAAAAGAACTAGAACTAACATCTCTGGGAAGGAGGGTTTTGGACTTGGGACAGTAATGGAAGCTGGCAGATCTCATACCTGTCACACTGAGCCTTTCCCGAACATCATGGACAGCTCCCAAAAATTCCTGATTTCACATAAAGAGGATGAGACGAGGATCTCCTGAAGGTTGGAGACCACTCTTCCCACTTTTATTTGAAATAACCACATGAAATCATTCCAGCAGCTGAACAAAGATCTTTGGAAGGTGAGAATTAAATGGAGTTTGGGGGGGGAGGCAAGTTTGGGGGTGCTGGGAGGTGGGTTTTGTCTGCAGAGTTTCCAGCAGCCTCCTGAGCACAGCCAGATGAGAAATCCCTCCCCAGGGATCCTGCTCTTGTCCTCAGCACTGGGAAACTTTACAAAAGAAACACACTTTTACTGTCTTAAGAGCTACTTTGCTTGTCCAGCTTCCAAATAACTGTTTTGCAGTTAAAATGGCTTGTTTTCCATCTCTCTTTACAGTTATAATACTTGGAAATGGACTTTTCCTTTTGTTTTCTGATAGTATTGGATGGTTTTGTATGTTATCAGAGGGCAACACTGTGGTGCCTCTTGAATTAAACTGTCAGATTTTAAGAACAGTTGTAAGGGAAGGACTGAAATCCCATTTTAGGTTCTTTTTTCCTTTGGAAAATGGCTATTTTAAAAACCCAGACTCCATTTGCCTGTTTTCTTTATATCCCCTTCCACCGTTCAAAGTTTTGTTGTTGCTCAAAGTCTAGTTGTGATTATATAAATCCCAAATAAAGGTGGATCAGTAGCCAAAAGCTTGTGGTCTTTTAGGAAGGAGGAAAAACTCTGCCTTCCAGCTTCTGGAGAGAGGCAATCTGGCAGCATTCTGAGCCTTTGTCCCTCTTGGAGTCACTTAACACCCTTCTGGGTGATAGGAGCTTGGTAGCACAATTCCCATCTGAAAGGGAGAGCAGATAAAAGCCGGCAGCAAGGAATGTGTGCCAAATCCATTAGTTCTGGAGCAGACACAAAATCCAGGCTGGCCAGAGGAGGGAGAGGAGTTTTGTGCCTTCTCCAAGGGCCTGATGCAGTGGGCAGGAGGTGCTGGCTTGGGCTCCGTGGGAGGCAGAGCTGGATCAACACTTTCCCCTCTTTTAGGGAGCACAAAACCAGCTCCAATGCTTCTATCCCAATTGCAGGGATCTGGCTGGGGAGCTGCATTCTTCTGCTGTTGAAATAAGATATTTCAAATTTGTGTGTGTGTGTTTTTTTTTTTTTAATGGGTTTAAAGTGCATTTCCTCAGCTGAAACTGAAGCGAAACATTCCAGCAGATTTGCAAGGAAATTTCAGTTCTTGTTTCCCCTGGTGGAAGGGGTATGTTGAAATTTGGGGCATTTTGTTCCACTTCACACTGAAGCTTTAAAATCCTGAATGGAACAGAAACTTCCAGACTCAGCACAGCTCTTCTAATTGCCTGGTTAAGCAGATTAGAGCTAGTTCCCAAGCTTTTATATTCCCAGTTTCTGTGTTCCCTGGCTAATAACATCTCTCCTATCAGGATCTCAAAACACTTTTAATTGTGCCTCTGTGTCCAAAAACTTGGCAAAACCAGCTACAGTATCCTGGGGGGTGGGTCCAGATCCCAGGTGGTGGTTCCTCTGCCAGGCACAGATCAGCCCTGGATCTCTTGAGCCACAGCCGGATGTCGGATGTCGAGAGTCATCTCCAGAGTGATATTCCAGAGCCCTTTGACATCACTTTTGGAAAGGGGTCCTAGGAAAGTTCTTTTTTCAGATGGAAATTGCAGTAGGAGTCAGCACTGTTGTTTGAAAGGTTGGACAATTACAGGGAAAACTGATTTTCTTGTGATGTTACAATCTGTGCCGGTAGGCGCAGGTCATATCCTTTGGAATGGAGGGTAAATGAGGAGAAATTCTGACAGAGATTTCAGGAATGTTGTTTTTTAAACATGTGGCATGATTTCTGGCAGCTGAACCACTGGAAGTCTGACTTGGTATAACTTTTATGCCCTTCCTGGCAGAACTGATGGTGACGGAAAGAGGAGAGATCCTCCAGCTGTGGGATGTGAAGGGAGCAGTGGGAGCACTCAGCAGCTCGTCCTGGTGGAAGCTGCTGGTTTCCCAGGGATTGGTTGGGACGAGGGGCCTGGGAACCTCACTCAGCCTCAAGGAAAATGTAGTGGAGTCTCCTGCTGGTAATGGGGATCCAAACAAGACAGGGGTGACATAGACCCCGCGTTACACTCCTCCATTAGTAAGGGGAGAAGCAGGGCTGCCTGGCAGGACGCAAAAGAGCCCTTTTCCCAGGAAATAAGCTCCTGCTTATTTCTGCAAGTAGGTAGATAAATTCCATCATCACTTCCATCTGCCAGGAAGAAGAGGAGGTGCTGGAATAGCTCATTGTCCTGTGTTGCAGTTGGTAAGATCACAAGAGAAACCCATCCAGCTTATCCCAGGGAGTGAGGGTGTTGCAGAGCCCCTGTTCCATTGGAAAGCTTCGTGCTTCCTCCGTGTTTGCTTCACTGGAACAGCTGCCTGAGAGGATTTTTCTGGTGCCAAGGAGATAATCTGAGTTCAGGGAAAATCTTAGTCTGTAAGGGAATGGTTGTGAAGGGAGCACGGACTGTCTCTGGCAGCAGAGAACTTAACAGGAGTTGGGATTGTTCAGCCTGGGGAAGAGAAGGCTCAAGGAAAACTTAGAGCCCCTTCCAGTGCCTAAAGGGGCTTCAAGAGAGTTGGAAAGAGACTTGGGACAAGGGCCTGGAGTGATAAAACAAAGGGGAATGACTTCCCACTGCCAGAGGACAGGGTTAGATGGGATATTAGGAAGGTGTGTATTCCATGTGAGGGTGGTGAGGCCCTGGCACAGGTTCCCTAAAGAAATTGTGGCTGCCCCATCTCTGAAAGTGTTCGAGGCCAGGTTGGACAGGGCTTGGAGTAACCTGCTCTACTGTAAGGCATCCCTGCCCATGGCAGGGGGTGTCTGGGGAGTGTGGGGTGAAGGTTTCCCCATCACAGCTTTCAGCAGCAAACCCTGAGCTTGGCCAGGGGTGTTGCAGGCTCAAACTGCTTCTGCTTTCTGCAGTGAACTGTGCTCAGATGGATTTGGACCAGATCCAAGGCTTATTTGCTAATGTAAGAGGAGATCTGTCCTCATTCAGTGGATTTTGCATGCCCAAACAACAGCCACAATCGGGAGCTGGGAGCTGGGAGATCTCCCTGACCTGCCCCAGGAGTCAGTGACACCAGGAGCTGTTGCTCCAGGACCCAGGGCTGTGTTATCACCCCCGTGGGTGTCATCCCAACCAACGGTTTTAACAAACACAGAATACGATTCCAAGAGGTCACACGAGGTGAGAGCGACAGAAAAGCAGCAAATAGTGAAGTCCTGTGGAGCTTGCTGTCGCTGCAAGGCGGGGCAGGGGGAGGGGGGCTGGAAGTGTAACCCCTGGGCATGGGGCTCCTTTCCAAAGCGCACTAGGGACAAGGCAGGGTCCCAGGGCTCTGTGTCCTGGGGAAATACTGCTCCACACCATGCAGGTACCTGAGCACTCTTCAGAGGGAGAGTGGGGCTCCATGGGTGTTGGGGCTCCATGACCAAAAGTGACAGTTTTGTGTACCTGTACTCAGGCTGCTGGAGCTCCACAGACCGGGGGGTCAGGGCTCCATGCTCTGGGGTACCAGACCTCCATGTACTGGGGCAACCGATGCTCGATATGCTCCAGGGTACCAGAGTTTTTTGTGCACTGGGGAATCGGGGCTCCATAGCCCAGAGTCCCAGAGCTCAATGCACCAGGGGGTTGGGGCTCCGTACCCCAGGCTGCCGGAGCTCCATGCACTAAGGGGACTGATGCTCCATGCCCCAGTGCACTGGTGCTCCACGAACCGGGGAGCTGATGCTCCGTGCCCCGGGGTACCGGCGCTCCACGCACCCATGGGGCTGATGCTCCGTGCCCCGGGGTACCGGCGCTCCCCGCCCCGGGCTGCCCGTGCCGCGCGCTCCCGGAGCCGAGCCCGTCCCCGCCGCTCGGCGGGGCCGCCCCGGGGCGGGAGGGGCCGCCCCCGCCGCCTCTGCCCCGCCCGGCCGTGCCGGGGCCGCGGCGGCTGCGCACGGCGGGGCCGCCATGAGCGACGAGCGGCTGCGGCGGGTCCGCGACCGCGTCCGGTCCTTCCCGGACTTCCCCGTGCCCGGCGTGCTGTTCCGGTGGGGCGGGATGGGATGGGATGGGGATGAGGATGGAGACGGAACTGGGGATGGGAATGGGGCCAGACCAGGGATGGGACCAGGGTTGGGGGTGGAGACGGGAAGTGGGATGGGGATGGGACTGGGGAATGGGATCGGGATGGGAATGGGACCAGACTGGGACCGGGATCAGAACCAGGGCCGGGGATGGGGCCGGAACCAAAACTGGGGCCGAGCCCGGGGATGGGACCAGGGCCGGAGATGGGAATAGGATTGGGACTGGGGATGGAGCCAGGACCTGGAAAGGAACAAGGACAGGGCATGGGAATGGGACCGGGGATGGAGCCGGGCCGGGGATGGAGCCAGGCCGGGGACTCGCTGCCGGCTCCTCTCCCCAGTGCCCATCCCTGCAGCTGGCAGTACCAGGACCCTTCCCTGCGCTCCAGAGCTCAGTGGAGCCTGAGCAGCCCCCGGAGGTCACTCACTGCCTGCCCTCCTTCATTGCAGCGATATCAGCCCCTTGCTGAAGGATCCTGTGGCATTCAGGACTTTGATTGATCTTCTGGAGGATCATGTGAGGGCATCATTCCCCAAAATTGACTTCATTGTGGGTAAGTGTTGGTTAAACATGCCTGAGGCCAGGGCAGAGCAGCATGTCCCAGGTGGGAAGCATAGGGTGACCCATCTGGAATTCTGTGGCCCCTGGACATGAGAATCACCTGAACATTGGCCTCTGTCATGTGGTAACACCAGGACAGGTTATACCCTTAACCTCATCCTGTAATTTCCTGAAATACTGGTTTGGATGTTGAAGGTGCCATCTGATGATACTTCAGTGCCAGTTTCATAGTTTGTTGCTTCCATTGTTAAAAAAGAGGGAATACAGAAAGCCTGCCACGCCTAGTCCCTGTTCCAGGCAGACCCTGTTCCAGCTTGTTTTCCTTCTCAGAAGCCTTTTCAGGCCAACACAAACAGCCTTTGTGGCACTGATAAGACCTTGCAGCACACCTGGGAAGGTGCTGAGGAAGGCAGAGCTTGGGCTGGGCGATAGCCCAAGGGTCAGAGAGCACAGACCAGACCTGGGCCAGGTGTCTTGTGATAAGTGAAGTCTGTGCCCAAAGGTGCAAAGTCTCTGGTTGTGTGGCCAAACTGATACTGAGGCTCTGCTGAGCTTATCTCTAAGGAAAAGAGCCAGAAGGGAGGGAAATGTGCTGATGGGGCTCCCTGTGGAGCCCTGGAGTCCCTCAGCAGCACATCTGGGCAAGCACAGGAGTGTGGTGTGTTTTCAACCCTCAGAAGGGACTGTAAGAGCAAATTGCTTCTAGAAACCCCCTTGAATGGGAGGATAAAATGAAGGTATGCAAAGACCCTCCCCCAGTCAAATGGCTCCAATCTGAGCAATGGGACAAGAGGAAGCAGCTTCAAGGGAGGTTTAGGTTGGATATCAGGGAAAATTTCTTCACTGAAAGGGTGGTCAGGTATTGGAATGGGCTGCCCAGGGCAGCTGTGGAGTCACCATGCCTGGAAGTGTTCAAGAAACATGTGGATGTGGCACCTGGGGACATGGTTAGTGGTGGCCTTGGCCAGGCTGGCAGAACGATTGATTCTGAT